ATCCATTTAACCAAGACGATAGAAACGTTGGGAAAAGAAAACGGTAGTGATACATTTAAGATAAGCTTGATCCCTTGATCTTGGATAAGTTTTACATTTAATATTATTCACACGCGCGCGCGCACACACACACATATATATATATATATATATATATATATATATATATATATATATATGTGTGTGTGTGCGCGCGCGCGTGTGAATAATATTAAATGTAAAACTTATCCAAGATCAAGGGATCAAGCTTATCTTAAATGTATCACTACCGTTTTCTTTTCCCAACGTTTCTATCGTCTTGGTTAAATGCATGATACACAAATAAAATAAATTATCAAGAAAAATAACAAATAGAAAGTCCTTTTTTTAATTACAGATGATAATTAAGATGCTAATCTGCAGGGTAATGAGCAGATAAACAGCAAAGCTGGAGATAATATAATCCCTAACCTTATCCTCATATGGCCACTTGGCATAATCATAGTGGAATTAAGTTGCAATATTACTATGACCCACCAAAAAAAACATCGAAAACCCCCCAAAAAAAGAGAAAAATGAAGACAGGTGAAAAAGGAAAAAAAAATACACTGTTTGATTAGGACACCTTGAAACTTACCTAAAACATAAAAGCCAAAAAAACAATATTTGGTAGATAGATAGTTAGATACACACATATTTGGATGAACCCATAATAGTTACATAACAATTATTCTAATATATGTATATACAGTTATACACACACAAATGTTCTAGATACAAGTTTTTGGTATTTGGTTTGATATATTTGCATGTTTTTTTTTCCTCTGTACAACAAGGGTGTAAATTACCTTTTCTCCTTCGAATACGTTACCATGCAGAAATAGATCTATAGTATATGCCAGATTATATGATATATATTTACATATCTAACTACCAGCCTGTTTCTATAATATGTTTTTCTTTAATCACCATGCAACTATAGCTAATCCGTATTCAATATTCGTAATTACCACCATACACATAATCTAAATTCAATAATTATAGAACGTAACACATTTTAAGATTAAAAAAATGAAAAATTATCATCAATGCATACATGATTATGAATGATACATCATACGGCATGCATGCATTCAAAACGCCATATATTTTACCCTTAATAGTGCTTTATATATTCTAACCACAACAGAAGAATCCAACATAATAATCGATTGGGAAAATCATTGGTTCGAGTTTTCACAGCAGAAACTGACATTAAATCCGACAAAAATTCACACGAGATTCGAAACTGTAAATAATTTTCGGACAGAGGGACGATGAGACGACAAAAAATCGAGACGTGGATCCAAACGAGAGAACAAAAAAACGAGAGGGTGATTTATCTGAGTAAAGTGGTGGGGACCACAAATCCTATTTGGGAACACTGCTCAATCTTGCTGCCGCTGCGGCTCTCGCTGGGAAAGTCATCTTCGTTTTTTGTGGGCCCCACTTTTGTGTCCGGGCCCCATCTCTGGTTTTTTCAAGATTCTCTTCTCTCTCCTCCCCGTCTAATCATGGAAAGCATTCCCCTCCAACACATTAAAATGACGTTTTTGCCCCTTCTCGCATTTTTGCTGTTTTGTGTATATATATATATATATATTATTATTATTTTATCGGTGCAATATTTTGGTTATTTCCTTTGCACTGTACACCCACCCACATGCACACATATACATACGCTTCTACACACGCGTTAGAGAAATATCCTTCGACCAATGTCCCGGGGGGAGTATGAACAATGTCTATTAGGATACATTATCGTATAAACAGAACAACTTTCAATTTAATTCTAAATTTACCAACAGATTAAAACCCGTTTAATTTAGTTTGAATCGATTTAAAATGTGAGAGTGGTATAAATATCTATATTCTACATGTAAATCGATGACACAAATAAAACCAAATTTAAACCCGTCTTATTCTCTTATATATTCAAAACAACGAAAGCACGATTTTTAACCATTAAAAAATTATTAAAGTAACAGTAGAAACCAACTATATTTTTCAATCATCGGTATATCCACTGACAATATACGACCTCCGGCCAATATTTCAAGTCAACTGCCGGATGATTACATGTTTTACAACGGTATCTCCTGCGCATTTTAGCTCTGACCCACACGCCGACTAAATTCGGGGCGCATTTTAGCTTAACCTGCGCCGCTTATATTCATAATTATTACTAGTCCGAGAGCTTTCTGTGACCTGTCGGGTTTGATGTCTCCGCAGAGGTGGCGTACGTATACATCGCCGTATTCGACATTTATTAATACTACGTATTTTTTTCATACCTCGCAAATGAATGATCTCTATAATTAAAGACCAATTGTAGCTTATCTTGATTCTTTTCATATCTCACAAGAAAAAAAAAATCCATTTGATGGTAAAAATGAAAAATCAATGTTTGTATTTTAAAATATCTACTACTGTCTTAATGAACAAATTACCTTGGGGTAAAAAAAAGAAAGAAATGAACTTTGTATTCCCAAAATAATAAATAAATACAGAGATGTTGAATTCTGTAGATTTTTTTGCTTTATACCAATCTGCTTATTTATAAAATGTGAGAACCCCATCAAAAAAACAAAAAAAAAATCCATCGGAATAAATAAAAAGCTTCCTCCTCCCTCCCTCCCTCCATCATTTCTGAGCACAATCCACTAGCAAACCAAAACCTCAAATTTCAGCCAAATTTCCTGTTTTTCTTGGTGTCTCCCATAGTGTTTTATGTTCTTCTCGTCCAATGTAAGAAAAAGTTTCCGGATTTAATGTCAGAACTCGTAGCAGAGCATGATTACATAGGTTTTTCAGAGCCTCCATCAATGGAAGCTTCTGACAAAACCAAAACCAGAGACGGGAGGTCCTGTCTGAACCTCAAGGCCACTGAGCTGAGACTCGGGTTACCTGGGTCCGAGTCGCCGGAACGGGCCCACCCGGGATTCCTGTCGCTTAAGAGCTCCTGTTCCATGTCGGGGGCCAAAAGGGTCTTCTCCGACGCGATCAACGGGTCTGGAAAATGGGTCTTCTCTTCCGGATCTACTGGTGCTGATGCTGCTCGGTCGGGTCCGGGTTCGGGTCACGGTGGCTCCGCCGTGAAGGATGGAAAGGCGGAGCAGTTGGCTCAACCGGCCTCACAGGTTCAGGAGAAGAAGGGTTCTGGTGTAGCTCCTGCTTCAAAGTAGGTCTTTTTTCCACCAGAAAGATTCTCTGTTCTTATACTTCTTTGGCTTTTTCTTTCAGTGTTGGTAAGGTTGTGATGCTGAATTTTAGTTTCTTCGCCGGTTTTATGTTTCTTCTTTGGGGCCACTGAGTTCAAGAATTCTGAAAAATTTGATCCTTGGGAAATGGATACTCAAAATTTTTTTTGAGATATGTAGCTCGTGTAGCTGTTTGAGCTGATGGAAACTGCTTTGTTTATGCTTCTTCTGAAAAGAAATTGTACTCATAAATGAAATGAAACTCGGAAAATCTTGTCTCATATTCACAGACGCTGCTTTCTGGTGTATTTATTGCTTAAGCGATGGAGATTTTATACGTATCAGACTTGGTTCTTCTGGCTCTTTCTTAGTTTATGAAGAGATTTCCATCTTATCAGTATGTAATAAGCAGAAAGGCTTCTGGCTTTGGCAGGGCACAGGTAGTGGGTTGGCCACCAATTCGCTCTTTCCGGAAGAACAGTTTGGCTTCTCAGTCTCAGAAGAACGGGGGCGAAAACTCAGAAGAAGCCAAGGTAAGATCAGAATCTTGCTTGTACGTGAAGGTAAGCATGGAAGGTGCTCCGTACTTGAGGAAAATCGATCTCAAGATGTACAAAAGCTATGTCGAGCTCTCTTCTGCTCTCGAGAAGATGTTCAGTTGCTTCAAGATTGGTAAATTTTTTCCCTGATTTTACCTTCCCTCATATGATCAGCTTTACTGGGTTGAAGCCAGTTGCAAGTTCTTGAACTGTTGAATGTTTTTTTTTTCTTTTTTTTTTCAGGTCAGTTTGGTTCACATGGTGGATCTGGCCGAGATGGATTGAACGAGAGCCGCTTGAGCGATCTCTTGCGTGGATCTGAGTATGTGGTTACGTACGAGGATAAAGATGGTGACTGGATGCTGGTGGGCGATGTCCCTTGGGAGTGAGTTCTGATTTTCTTTACATCTTCAATACTTGAATTTGAGGGCGATGTCCCTTGGGAGTGAGTTCTGATTTTCTTTACATCTTCAATACTTGAATTTGTGGATCGGTTCTGATTTTCTTTACGTCATTGAACTTCGTTTTACCGGGGGTGCAAAGCATCTGCCCATCCCGAGATCGAACTCCAGGATACCCAGATACCAAAAAAAAAACATATCATTGAATGCTCTTGCTCATGATAAGGACAATCTCTAGAACTAAGTGATGAACTTCAGAACTCGGAAGATGTTTTGCATGGACAAGAATGGCAGCAAGGGATGAATAGGAGCATGACCTCTCAAGCTTATTTGTTTTTTTCCCTTCTGCAGAATGTTTATAGATTCCTGTAAGAGACTGAGAATCATGAAGAGCTCAGAAGCTATCGGCCTAGGTATTGTTCTTCTTGAATTACCCTTTTTCAGAGATACCCTACTGATTCTGTCAAGCTCTTGAACTGCAATATCTCAAGTTTGCCGCCAATTATTCCAGAATCTTATATGATCTAACAAAAAAACAAAGAAGAAGAAGACAGTGATCACTTACTGATGTGTTTCTGCATGTCATCAGCTCCAAGGGCAATGGAGAAGAGCAGGAGCAGAAACTAGTTTCTGCCATCTCCAGGGGCTACTTGCTTATGTGCTTGCTATGTGATAATGTTTCCCAGATATGTAATTTTGCCATTTTTGAGGCATTCTTGTGCTTAGGAATGTGGTGTTTGATCTTTTCTAATAAGGCCCTCTCTGCTTCTGTATAATCAAATCTATGAATCTGTCCTCTTTATGTTTGGCGTGCTGCTCCTCTGGAATGTAAGACTTTAATATGTACAAAAAAATGGAACCAAACCCTTCTTCATATGTGGGCTTTCTTCTTTTTAATTCCGCTTTGTCCAATATAACCAGATCCGGTTCAAATGTTGATCTGTTAAACCGACCTCGGTTGGTTTGGTTTTGCTAAACCGGTGTTAAATAAAAGTTAACTTTACATTTACTTACTAGGGCATACGCACTGTACACTGATGTCTATTATTTCATGAAAGAGACACCGGATGGGTCAGAGGGTTTGATATTGAGCATTTGTGATTTGCCTCGTGTTGTGAGGACGGAGAAAGGGTTTTAGAGACACCCGGAAAAGGGCCATCTCTCGTTATCAGCGTCACAAATTCAGGAATTCTTAGAAGATGAAGCTGAAGCAATTGGAAAGCTTGTTAGGTGATCTTGAGCAATTCTCCAATCCAAAGGTCTGTTGAATTTAGGGTTTTTTTTCTCCAAGAATTACTTGCGAATTATCTATCTGTTGAATTTGCTGCTGATTTCCTCTGCTAATGTCGCAGGTGGAACTGGAGCAGTACCCAACTGGTCCTCACATTGCTTCTCGCATGCTTTACACGGTTATGTTCTTCTTCTTCTTCTTCTTCTTCTTCTTCTTCTTCCTCTGCTGCAAAGTTTATTGTTTTCCTTTGTTTTGGCCGCCAGCTTGTTGCTCCTGTGATTGCTTTCCTGTTTTTATGAATTGGGTCGTTTTGTTATCATCTCATTCCAAAAGTTTATTCCTTTTAGATGATGAATCGACTTGAGCATCTCGGTTGAGAGATTGAATAGCATATACTATACTCTGGTTGTGATAAAGTTGTTAACTTGATAGTACTCCCATCGTTTAAAATGCTAATTACAGGGGAAATTTTCCTGAATTTGAGGTTTGCAGTATAATGATCTAGTTGGAGAGTGTAATAATCTTAGAGTTGTGGATGTTTTTTTTCCCGGTTTTGTTCCTGTTCTTGAAACCTTAAGTTGGTGGTTTGGGTTTGTTCTTGCTCTTTTCATGTAGGCAGAGAATTCGTTTGGAGATATATGTAACAAGGTCGTGGCTGATTTTGGCTGCGGCTGTGGTACATTAAGTGCTGCTGCTTGTCTTTTGGATGCATCGTGAGTATCATCTTCTGCCCTCCATTTTTTCTTCTCTCTGTTACATCTGTTCCCATTCTTCTGAAGTTTTGATTGATCTCAGCACTTTGTTGCTCTGAACAGGCATGTGATTGGTTTTGATGTTGACCCTGATTCTCTCGAAACAGCAATACTAAATGCAGAGGAACTTGAGGTTAACATCCTTTTCTTGTGTGGATGGACGTTACCTTGGTTATAACATTTCCATATTTTTTTATAATTGCTTCAGTTTTGCAGCTGGACATAGATTTCATTCAGTGTGACATAACAAGCCTGAAATTGAAAGGTGAAAGCTTTTTCTTCTGCTTGTTCATTTTTTAGCTTTCTTAAGCTCATTCACAGTAAGGATATTAATGAAGGAAATCTCTTAAACCCTCTTTGTTCCTTGGGATCTTATGTTGATCTGTATCACACAATTTACTTTTCTGTTAGTCATTTTGATATTACCCTATCTCCTGATCACCATTGTTGCCCATATAGGCCAGCTTGTTGATACTGTTGTAATGAACCCTCCCTTTGGAACACGGAAGAAAGGTGCTGACATGGATTTTCTCTCCGTCGCAATGAAGGTAGGCTGGAAAGAAAATGCTTTAACTGTTTTTCGATGTTTGATTTCATCTTTGCCGTAGATTTTGTTTGTTCTGAAACTAGCAGAATCTATGTGATACCCTTATTTTCTTGACCTGGCAGGTTGCATCTCAGGCTGTTTATTCCTTGCATAAGACATCCACAAGAGAAGTGAGTGCTGCTTTCTTTCAGACGGTCTTGCTAACTGTTAACAATCTAATATGCTAATGATGACATCTGCATTTTCATTCACAATCTTTCAGCACATAAAAAGGACGGCTTTGCGTGACTTGGGTGCAAAAAGTGCTGAAGTTCTGTGCGAGGTGGGCTTAAAGATTAGAACTTTCATAGGAAATTTGTTGCCTAAACATTACCCAAACTGGTAAATGCAAGTGCCGATTGTTTTCTTTGCTTATCTCACTTCTTCTATCATATCATGTTTTCCTCTGCAGCTGCGTTATGACTTGCCAAAGCTCTACAAGTTTCACAAGCGGAAAGAAGTAGATATTTTCGTTGATCTCTGGAGGTTTGTGCCTGGTACGGGCTAGGACCTGAATCTTAAGAAGGTAAAGCCAAATGTTTTGGAATTGTTTTAGCCTTCAAAAAGCTCTTGCTTTGGCCTGGTGAAGTATATGTAATCTTTGTCCTTTACTATCAAGAAGATCAAGTCCTTCTGTTCGTCCTTCCAATAACATACGCAAGAAACTATTTTATTGACTCACAAGCTTTATAAAGAAATGTATCTTCAAGTACAAAATTACAGCTTTTTAGTTTAACATCGATCAGAAGGTGATCAAAAGTTCCTCATTGAAAAATTGCTCTATTTGCTGTGGTCACACACCTCAGTTGTCTTCTCCAAGTGTAAATCTCATGAACCTCCTGACCTTGATGTTTTCCCCAATAGCAGCCACTGTTTGCTTCACCAGGTCCTTCACCAGGACACTGTCATCTTTAATATATGGTTGCTCCAGCAGTGCAAGCTCTCCCAGCCTCTTGGAGACTCTCCCCTCGACGATTTTCTCCTTTATGTTGTCGGGTTTCGACAAAATGTCCTCTCTTTGCATCTCAATCTCTTTCTCATTGTTCCTTATCTCCTCTGGAATGTCTTCAATGGAGATGTATTGCACCTGTGTAGAGATCTCAATAAGCAACCGAGACTCGAGAGGCAAAGAAAACGGGTTTTGGCAGAGATTTCTTCATACCTGAGGATTGGCCACTGCTTGCATAGCAAGATCATCAACCAATTCCTTGAACTTCTCACTTCTGCCAACGAAATCCGTTTCACAGTTCACTTCAATCAGAACTCCAATGCGAGAATCGTGGATGTATGAGCCGATCCTGCCTTCCGCTGCAAGACGGCTAGATTTTTTGTCAGCGGTTGAAAGGCCCTTCTTCCTGAGGTATTCCTGTGCTTTTTCAAGATCTCCTCCTGTCTCAGCTAAGGCTTTCTTGCAGTCCATCATACCGGCTCCTGTTTCTTCGCGCAGTTGCTTCACGAGAGCAGCTGAAACTGCTGTTGATGCTGCCCTGCAAGTATTTGATTGTGATCTTCATGTCAGTACCAAAATCTGTTGAAAAAGCCTTGATCTTTCTATAGCCTGAATTCAAAGATCTTAGTCAATGTAAAGATATAAATTTCTCACTTTACAGCAGTTTCCTTGGGCTCCTCGGCTTTCGGTTGCTCCTTCTCTGGTTCAGCCTTTGGTTTAGCAGCGGTTTGAGCAGCGACTTCAGCAGCAAAGTCCTGGCTTTTCTTCTCAAGGCCCTCTCCAAGGTTGTACCTTGTGAATCTCTTCACCTTGATATTTTCTCCCACAGTTGCAATCGTCTGCTTCACCCAATCCTTCACTGTCACCTTATCATTCTTAATGTAGGGTTGCTCGAGCAATGTTAGAGTCTCCAGCCTCTTCTTTATCCGACCTTCAACTATCTTCTCTCTTATCTGCTCGGGTTTTGACAAAAGGTCTTCTTTTTGCATCTCCATCTCTTTTTCTTTGTTCACGATTTCTTCTGGAACATCTTCGGTGACAAGGTACTCTACTTGAGGGCAAGCAGCCACCTACATTATATCATATGTAGCAGGAAGCTTCATAGAGATTTTGTTTCATCCCTTTGATGATGGAAACAAAATGCAGAAGAATCAGTAAAAAGTTGAGTTACCTGCATCGCCAGATCGTCAACAAGCTCCTTGAAAATTTCGCCTCGTGAGACAAAATCTGTCTCGCAATTAACCTCCAAGAGGACACCGATCCTGCTGTCGTGGATATAAGCACCGATTCTTCCCTCGGCTGTTGCCCTGCTGGCTTTCTTCTCTGCACTCGCTAGACCCTTCTTCCGAAGGTACTCTTGGGCTTTGACTATATCACCCCCTGTCTCTGAGAGAGCTTTCTTGCAATCCATCATTCCAGCCCCTGTTTCGTCTCTAAGCTGCTTCACCAGAGCTGGTGATATGCTTCCTGTGTTTTGTGTAGAAGAGAACACATCAGGTAAAAGAAATAGAAGAGATATACATGATCTTTTCAGAAGTATAATTTTGAGATTTGCCCATCTGAGATTATCTCAAATATGAAGTTAAAATAGGAAACAATGGTCATCAACATTTTAAGCGATGCCCAGAATTCAGGAAAACAATAGACGAAAACGAATTGTCTCAAAGTAGTAGAACAACTCAAATCTTGGAAACTCCAAAATGGGGATAATCACGAAAACTATAGATGAAGCTATAAGAGAATGGGCATTAATGATGAATGTCAGTGAGCAAGGCTTTAAGCAGGAAGGTGGATAAAAGAAAGACCTTTGATGCTTCCGTTGGGGGAGCTGCTATCGGCATCAATATTGCCATTTTCCTCAGAAGAAGCTTCTGCTACTACAGGAGCAGGAGCATGAGCCTCGGCTTCAACAACTGGTGCTTCAGCGACCACTTCCTTCTTCTCAACCTCTTCACTTGCTGGAGTTTCTGAAGGTGAAACTTCATCGACAGTTGAGTTCAGAGGAGTAGAGTTCTCTTCTTCATCTGATCACAGGAAGAGAAGAGAGTGTCATTGCAATGCATGAAAAAACAATGAACCGGTAATCCCCCTTATTGTTTTTTTTTTTTGGGTTCTTGAAGATCTTGCAACATAATTTAAAAGAAGCAGCTTAGATACTAAGGAAAGACAAGTCACATACCCTTGGTTTCTGGAATGGGAGGAACATCTGGTTTTGCCTCCGAACTCATGACACTGCCATTATCATCTGGAATCTGCTCTAGCTCTTCGCTTTCTGCTGTTTGTACTTCTCTTGCGGACAAATCATCTTCAGCTTTGGTCTCCACAACTTCTTCTTCCTTTGGAGTTTCTGATGAGAGAATCTGCTCAGTTATTTCTTCAGATGATTCAGATAACTCATTGGTGGATTCTTCAGTTCCAGCTAATGATTCGTTGATTTCATTTGACGTGATAATGTCCTTAATAACCTCATCTGATTCATTCGGAGGAGTCTCTTCTGGTTTCTCAGCAGCTTCCTTCTCCACCTCTTCCGCCCTTTTGTCCAGAAACGAGGCTATGTCCTTATTCTTACGGAATGCAAGCACAAATGGGTTTGTTGCTGTATACACAACCCCTTCATTGAGTGTTTCATCAAATTTATCACCGTCTTCACTTTTCATTGTTAAAGTAACTTGTCCCCTTGATATCCTCAACACACGTACACTAACCTCTTGTCCAGCTTGCAGTGAAGAGCTGCCCATCATGCTTCCAAGCCCATCATCTGCTTCTTCAGCGGTGGGAAGAAAACCTTCTTCACCCTCGGGGAGTGAGATAAAAGCCCCTGACCTCGTTAAGTTCTTCACCGTTCCTTCCAACATCTGCCCCTTCATGAACTTTGAGGTTTTCAAATCTTCCTTCCTCTGTGATGTTTTTGAAGGATTCTTTCTCGGGGGTCTCGGCTTATCGCTACCGGATTGGCGTTTTGGGGTATCATCATTTTCCCGCATGCTAAGAGAAATGCGCCCGGCATCAAAATCCGCTTCCACCAGTCTTACTTTCACCTCTTGACCGATGGATACGACGCTTGAGACATCCTTAACAAAGTTATCACTCAGCTGTGAGACGTGGACAAGACCGTCAGTGAAGGCGCCAAAATCGACAAAAGCGCCAAAGGGCTGGATTGCTCGTACTTTCCCAGTAAAGGTCACACCAGGAACCAGCTCTTCATTCTTAACAGGAGGCATTTCACTCTTCCTACCCATCCTTGCTCGCCTTGACTGAGATGTAGTAGCAGGAGATTCTTCCGACTTTTCACTTGCTTCAACCGGCTCTCCTCCTGAATTTTCATCAGCAGCAGAAGAATCTTGTTCCTCTACTACCACATCAGTCCCCGTGGCTGAGGTTCTAAACCGAGGATGCAATACATATTGCCTTGCATATGCTGGAAATAATCTAAGTGAGGTTGAAAGAGGTAGAACAACTCTTAGTGAGGATAACGACTGTTTTCCAGGTTTCCTCGAGATACCACACTTGACAGAACAATCGCTCGTCTTCAAAGAAAACGTGGCCCTGGGAATGAGAGAAACATTGCCGATAGAAGAAGGGATAGCTGGCGTTGTCATCTCTAGATAGCTTTACCTTAGCTGCTAAAACAGCAATTTCTTCATTCCTATGGTGATCAACATCAAACATAAAGCAAGGTACATGCTGAATTACTTGGTGTAGAACGGATAGAAAGCATAATATCCAAGAATGAGCACTTGTACAGAATGAACTTCAAGCAGATAGAAACATGTCAATACCAATCCCATCCAAAGTTTTGCTGTGTGATTTAGACAAAACATCCTCTACATGGTTCATGGAACATTCTCCAAAACAATTTGCCATCAGAAAAATTCAAGTGAAGAAACATAAACTCAATCACCCAATTGATGAAATTTCCTCTAAAAGACTCGAAATTCCCAATGTCATGCCAACACAATAGAGTAAACTCGAAATTTCCAACCATCTTCTCGACAAAACATTTCGACGAATTCACTGATACAGGGCACACACCGCAACCACACCAGCAAAAACCGGAACTTACCAAGAACCCTCTCCGAATTATCAAAAACCCATCACCGGAAAACGAAGAACCCGCAGAAAAATACAGGTAAGTTATCCATTTGGGCACAATCCCAGCAAAAGAACTACCTCTCGTCTTGCTCTGAGAAGTTCTCCCAGAACCCAACGCGTAACCAGCAGCGGAAGAGGAGAACGAAAGGTGTGGGCTTTAAATCCTTATCTTATGCAGCCACTGGTTTCGCCTCTGTTCTTATATGTCTGTTCCCTCTCGTTCGTGGATAGTGTCTCAGAAAATGACAGATTATGTCTTATCCCCCTCGGCTCGGCTCGGCTCGGCTCAAGCCGAAACGATAGAAGAAATGGGCCTAATGGTTTATATTTGAGGCCTATAATGATGAATTTGGGCCTAGTAGCCTTATGGTATGACCATATTAGAAATGGGCCTATTATGCACTGTAAATCCAGATGTATGAAGGCCTAGGTGTTTATACTTGGGCCTCCTACATTTTTTTTAAAAAAATTGAAGTGAAAATGTTATGTTTCTTTTGAAAATCGTACGTAAAAAAAATCTCTGTATAAAATTTCACTTAGCACAAGATTTTCCGAGCAAGGATCTGTGTGTACTGAGATCGGTTCTAATATAGATTTCAAAAATATAAAATTATGAAAAATAAATTAAAATCAGAGCAAAAGAACTCACCCTTAATTAGTAAAATAATAGCAAACAACATCATGAACTAATTAATGGTGAGTAAACAACGAATTAAATCTTTTAAAAAAACCAACTGAGCAAATCTGTACTTGCTAGGATTGTTAAAAATATAAACCAGAAAGACGAAAGTGGAACTTAATATTTAATTGAAACTAATTTTATTATATTTGTGTTTAATGGGGGAGGAAACTTCCTCAATAAAAGATTAACATCATGATTTTATATAATTTTCGCCCAGGTGGGTTGGACAAGTAATGACGGTCCAATTTCAGTTGATACCCCGAATCGAATTTAATTATAATCAATGCGTGATCACAAATACGTACATACACATACTCATATGTTCATCCATCTCTCCTTCTCTCTCTCTCTCTATATATATAGATATATACGTACACGTCTATTATGTATGTATTAATCTTCTTTTGCCTTTGTTTCGTTACTTGTAACTATAAATATGAGGTTCAACAAGGCGCATGCAACTTCCACGAGATGAAAATAATTATTTCAGATAATATTTCATGTAGAAAAGTTAATATATATATTTTTGACAAAAAAAGTTAATATATATACACACACATATATATATATATGTATGTATGTATAACATTTTTATCATAGCTAGTGCTCACATCATATATATAGATCAATTGATGTAGAACTGCATCTTTCGTAATGTAGATCAATTTCAATTCATTAATATCTCGAACATTTAATAAAATAAATATGTTTATTTGTATCTATATCACTTTAAATATTCCTAAAGACGGTGTTTGAACATATATACGTGCATATTCATAATATGAACCTTTGATAAACTTTGAAATGGCCATCCTAATAGCCAAAGAGAGTTCGGATGGATATATATATATATATATATACACATCTTTTTTTATTAATCATGAAGTCTTCGTTCTACTTAATCTCCCTAGATCCGGTGATAACATTTAGTGAAAAATTTACCTTTCTCTCCAACCTGTTGCTCGAATATGAAACCTCTAGAAGAAATAACACTCCAACCACACTCTATAACTAAAACTACAACCATTTGATTACTTTAAAGTTGGATACAAATATAATATATTCACCGGAAGAGAAACATATATATAGTTTTATATCCGGACTATAGATAGTACATTGTCATTGTATATGATATTACATGGTATATCTTTCTTCTTCTAACTATGTGTGTGTGTGTATATATATATATGTTGGATCAACATCTTAATAAATAATTTCATCCCACGTGAATAGAAAATAGATAGTTGGATCATTACTTTGTTCTTCAACCAAAGAAGCTTCCTCAATTTGATTGCATGATGAGATCGACTAGTACCAATAATATCACCATATATATGTAAGAAGATCCAATATTTCGTATAATATATAGAAACTTGATTTATATCGTACGTGAAGATACTGAGCCCAATAATTACACACAACCTTAAAAATAAACCAACATGGTCATGGATCCATATCCAAGGATAGATCGCCCAATGAGACAACTTGTGATGTTGATTTAGTAGTTACGTTTTTTGTCTTTTATTTTTTTCTATATATGTGTGCGTGTATATATATATATATATATATATATATATTTGCTTGTGTTAAGATATACTTAGAAGAGATGGAGGCAAAATATTGTCCTATGAAGGAAAAATAATTTGACAGACAAATTTTAAAAAAATTATAACCGAAATTGTGAATGTAACAAAAATATATATATATAGTTCTTTTTTCCTTTATCTTCTATTTTTCTTTCACTCTGTGGGAAAAGAATCAATTTTCTTCGAATTATCACACATGGTGTTATCCAAATATTTTGTATATTTTATTTGATTTGAGTCTGTTTGTTAGATTTTACTCTTTAATTGTAATTAAACATGGATTAGTTCTTGTGTAATAAATATATATCATATCAGTAAAAAAAATATATGGGTGCATTCAACTAGTTGTACGTAAATATTCACAATATTAAATAAAAATTATGGAAAGTGGGAAAATCAAGAAATTTAAAAAGGCAATGTTTGACATATAAATGAGCATCTCTCCACATGCGGCTTTGGGATTCCGAGGTCTCCCCGACCAGTTGTAAAAAGAAGCCACTTCTTATTATTATGATATGTCTATATGATCTTCTCGTTATTAAACTTTATAATTATAATATCGTTGAGACTTGAGATATAATTTGTACCATTGAGAATTCTACGTTATCAAAAAGCTGCCCAAAACCCTTAATTGCAAAGCAAACGATCTATTATGACGTGAATTGATAATTGGTGGAAGAACATATGACTCTAATGTATAAAATATTGTGATATTGACGCCAATATCTATGCTTTAGCAATTCGGGTTTTTGGTTTTTAAACTTGAAATGCATGGATCTCATATATTTCAAAGAGATTTACAAACATGATTCAATTAAGGGCGAATCTAGAAATATTTATTATCGGAATCGTTTATTTATCACTAATTATACGTTAAAAAAATAGAGGATATCATTTTAGTTTGTTTTTTTATAATGGAAAACCCCTAACTGCTACCATTCGGACATACTGGCTAGGTAAACCTCCGACCCGAGAGCAGTCTTTGTATATGAATCAAATTAGCCTATAAATTACCTCCTTCCCCATCATGAAAGATCGAACACTTGACCTTGAGGTGTTACCCACCTCAACTCAACCACTCGACCACTTGAATTGGGTACCATTTTAGTTTTTATCAATGCTTGTTTTATTTTTCATTATTTCTAATATCTGTGGCAATTGAACCATATCTCAAATGTAATCACAAATGTGAAATTGGACATAAAGTTAGAATATGATATAATGCACGTTCGCATTAGATTCTGCATAACCATAACTAGAACCAAGATATTTGGATAATTGTCCGGAAAAAAATAATGCGTGTATGCAAATCTTCATGCATTATTTTATATGATCAAGTTATTGAAATTTCAACAGCTAGGTGCATGGTTTGGTACATCATGCATGCATGTGTTTATGTGACCAGAAATCCCTCCTTTCATTAAAATAATTATACGTGCATGATTGAAGCCAATTAATTGGGGTATACGTTAGATATCTTTTATTATGTTACACATATTGTTTATTATTATTAAAAACAAATATACATTTTAATTTATTTTCCATGCAACCATATGTCATAAATCATAATGCTTGGGTAAGAGACTACTTGCGCACTAAAGATATAATATAAACTAAACTATTTTGTAGGTGATATCTTCGAGACAAGAAAATTAGTTTTGAGTTTTTGTTGAAATTTCTTCCACTTGAATCTTTACGTAGAAAGTTAACAAATATTTATGTAAAAGATAATAATAAAGGATTATAATATAGAATTTGATTGGCTGTAGAGGTAAGTAACAGGATCAAGGGGATTTGATTCGATAAACCATTTTTAAAATTAATAAAATAATGGATTAATTAATTAAAAATATATAATGAGAAAAAAAAAGGAAGGAAAGAGAGACTCTGTGTGAAACAATATGCATGTGCGCAAAATCTACAATATATACCAATACCCTCTCCACCATGATCTGTCTCTTTTGGTGTTTTGCCATCTTAATTACTCATCAAATCACATCTAATCTCAACATAATCCCTTGTTTTAATACAAGTTCCCCCTCATATTTTCCATTATCATTATGAATATTATTCTGTTTGTTCCACGTATATGTATATGTGTATGTATACGTATGTATCGTATATCCATAATCCATTTCCGTCCACATTTTTATTCGTATTTATGCTTGTCGTTTGGGACCACCCGGATTAGATGTTCTTATTTTCCCTAAACATATAAACAGCTGTTATTATACGTATTAAAGATACTTTATATCAAAGATACTCAACCAAAGATATAAAGCGTCTGTTTCTACCGGAATTCGAGATTCAAATTGGGGAGGGTAATATAACTCCAATCACATGGTTTACTCTCGACTTCAATATTAGTCTGAACTTCGGTCCATGACACTCGTTTACAAAAAAAAAATACACTCTTTAAAAATAAATGTTATATAATCTGAAAAATTGAAATAGATGGTTCAACATATTTATCTCTTAACCAAAGATCCATGGTTCGAACCTGTCCTGAGAATGGAACAACATTTAGGATAGTCTTTTGTCGTTTAGTGTGCTGATCCAAAGACAATCTAAGATTAGTTTGAATGTGCAAGACTTAAAATTCGTTACACTTCGTGGTTTATATATAAAAAAATCTTATAGCACTCGGTTTACATACTAAATGTTTTTTACCAAGTAAGTTTATCTAATATAAATATTTGGCCGGCACGGACCTCAATGGAAATTGAAGATTTAAATGACCAATGCCTGAAGATCATTTGTTTGATCCACATATTATTATTGATGATATAGAATTATTGTCACATATGAGTCGAAAAAGTCTAAATATTAAGATTATGTATAAAAAGAAAATGTGTATAATTAACACGACTTAGTCATAATATAAAGATAATTCGTTTGAAAACATATAAAAATCATTTTTTTATAAGAAGAAGAACACGAAGACAAATATGCATTATGAATTTATAGCCCATTAGGTCTTGAGATTATATTCCCACACGGACGGACACACGCATGGTTACATGATATCTAAAACACACACATTTACCATGTATTTATATAGATTGCTTATAATTCTATTTTTTTTCGTTTCCCGTCAATGGAAATTTCTTTTAATAAATAAACGTAATCATATACGGTGTTCCATGGTCAGGGAAATATTAATAATTTAAATAACCAACAATTAATAATAAATAAATAGATGGATTGATATTCGCGTCATCTCTAAGAAAGAATAATCACTCGTCAGCATCTGACCTACCACGTGGCACGTATCCGTAAGTCTGTTCTTTTCCAAATGGTGACACCCCCACACTTAAAAGTCCTCCTTTTGAGTTATTAAATGCTAAGAGACACGTTGAAGTATCACATGAATCACGACATCGGCTTAGAATAATGATTTTTTTTTTGTTGGATATAAAATCATAAATACAATATTGGTTTTTGAGTCATCGTTACCACATTGCCTTCGGGAGTCAAATAAAATGGAAATAGAATTAAACTCAACGTGAACCGAAACTATAAAGGTTGAAGATTTTGGAAAACAAATGATGAATGAAACTAACGTTACAAAACTAAATATAATTACGAATTCCGAGGACACATTTTTTGCACTAATAAATTCGGTCCTGTGCGTCATACAACTGTTGACACAATCTCTAAGTTTTTGGATTCCACTTTTTTTAAAATATTATTTTTAAAATTTAATATTCATTAAAGTTTAAAAAAAAAAATACGTTATAGAATAAATAAATAAATAAATAAATAAGGTTAAATTATAATACATTTGTTGTATTTAAAATTTTGAAAACATCGGTAGAAAATAAAATACGATAACAAGTACACATAAATTTTGATTTTAATTTTTAATCTATATATATATATATATTTTTTTTTTAAAAAAAAAGAAAATTTAAACAGATTATTATAGACTCAATATAATATTTAAGAATGAATAACGTGGAAAATAGCCATCCACAGGGTGGTTAATTTAATTCGATCATTATGCTTATTATGGACTCAATATATTCATCATAAAAGAACAGAGTTGCAAAATATGCAAATACGATATATGAATTACGAATTTAGAACACACGTGACAATCGTATTTAAAATGCACTTACAGAATGTTAATAAGTCAACAAGTTCTCGGGGTCCGGTGATAAAATGATATATTACCACGACACAGGATGCTTATAAGTTCTTTATTGATATAAACTTAGGCGTGAATATATATATCGTGGAAAATCTCTCCAAACGCTGCAAATAAGATTTAATGAATCTAAAAATTAAATGCGACTTTGGTGTAATAATATCATACGATTTAATGAATCTGTAAACTAAATGCGGGTTTGGTGTATAATGATATTAGATTACTATAGAGTATAAATAAGTAAATTTCTAGTCATTAATTTTACGATATTTGCATATATAGTACGATTGTTTTCCCTTTCTTTATAAGTTTCTTATAGAATATGATCTCACAGCTATTTGGTATCTATATTGTTGCGTCAACATTTAATTTTTTGCTAAAATATATATCATTACATATTTGACAATAAAACAAGAAATATTAATTAGAAATGAGCAAATCTTTTTCGATTCTCTCAGTCAAAGTTAAATAAATAAATCTATTCCTTGTTTAATTATCTGAAATATATATATATATATAATATAAATGATGATGGTACTCATAACATATATATAATGTGAAATGTTATGTTCTTTATAGAACCCTTGAGGTATGAAGATAGGTCAACTCGAGATGCCGAATTATATTTTTCTGGTTAGAGAAATTGAAGAACATTGGAAAATCCACTCCGTGTTTGAAGTCATCCAAAACCGTGAAATTAAAAAAACAAGTATTAATAACGAATTATTAAAATATTGAACAATCATTGTTATTAATAAAAGAGAAAAAAAAGAAGAAAGCGTTCTGAATCAAAATAAGGGCATAAAATCTACGTAATGTGTGTGAGAGCGTATCTATTGAAATCTGGACACAATCTCATCCAGCGATGCAGTGGTTACTGATCTTAAAGAAATCACACAAAATATTGAAAAATTTAATAAAAACGTTATAAAAAAAAAAAGGAGATCGACATTATAGAGATCTCTCTGATTCCTAAGCCAAACCCCAACAACACAAACACAACCAACCACAAAAAAAAAGGGGGGGGGGGGGGGGGGC